AGTGGTATCGTTGCAGCCCTACAGAAAATGTAGCAACACCTTAACATTAAGTCCACATAGAAGGCCACTAGCTAAAACATTTTACCATAATGTAAAACTGAACTCCAAGCTTGTGTGTTTCTGTCTATCCAAGTTCTGAGATTTATACAGCACTACCCACATCACAGCCAGGCAGATTACACTACTTTCTGTTACAGTTATAGACTGTGGAAGAAATGCAATGGTTTTCACTCTCCACCCAGGCCTACTGACAGGACAGTAGCAGCAAACTGATGTGGTTATCTCTATACTCACTCTGATTTCTTCTCCTTTCGGCAAGTCAAATTCAGGTACATAAAAACATACATTTAATGGTTTATTGGTGATCCCTAACTGCATTAAACTGCATCTTTCTTTTACAACATTTTGTTAGTTTTAAAAGCATACAGGTAAGGTATGGAAATTAACATAATAGGGTAAGGCAACAAGGCTTCCTTGGGGTAGAAGACAGTACATGAATGCCTAACATTTCAGGAAGAATCAGCTAATTAATGGCTCAATAGACTGAAAAAGACCAGGAAGGTAATTTATAAGTATAGAATTGTCAATGTCCATAGCAAGAGTAATTAGTGTCTTTCATATCTGCCCAGATTTCAGAAATAATTGTCTACAGTTAAAGAAAACAGTATTTTATATCAAAACTAGCAAAACTGCAATTTTGTAAAAAATAGAAAAAAATAAGAAAAAAATAGACCTGGACTTTTTAGGCACCCCAAGGATGTCAAGTGAAATGTGTATAAACATAACAAGCTTTATTTAGACATATTTAAAAAGATTCTTTAAAACCATCTTAATTTAACATGTAGATGTAGCCTTACCCTCCCACATAGTGCCATAATATCAACAATGTTATTTTGTAGTATGTTACATATCAGTTTTAATCTCAAAGCACAATCAATAATTTTCCAATTTTGGTTAAAGCACATCTCTATTCCATGCCAGGTAACTTAGTTCAGTGAGGAATAAAAAATATCAGTCACCCCGTAAGCTAAATGAGAGAAAATAATTTGGTTTCCCCTCCATGCTAAACTGCATGGATGCTGGGATCTCCCTGCTAGTTTTTGTATTCAGACAGCCGCAGCACCGGCAGATTCCTAATTACCTGAAAAGTAACTGCATTTGTTAGAATGTAGTCACTGTTCGATGGAGAATTTTCCATCTGGCTCAGTCCATTTTTAATCAACTTTTGGTGTTGACAGGGGCAGCCACAGCTCTAATATTGATCTTAAACTGTATTTCCACTTTTGTAGCCAAATTGGGATAACACCTACTGTACTTTATATTTTTCTCACATTTGACTGCAGAAGTGGAAATACATTTCAAGTTCATTGATGTGACCAACTTATCTGTATTTGCGAAGGATATACTGTATGTTTGCCTTTGTTTCTGCACGGTACTACAAATGATGATTCAAAATACTGTTACAATTAGAGGTGCACTGAAATGAAAATGTTTTTTTTTTCTAACCTTTTCAAAAAAAATGTAATATGTTATTTATATTTATTTTTTAGAAAACTATCATTTTTTTTAATCTTTTATGTTTATTTTTATTAAATATTCTTTTTTTTTTTACTTTACTGTTGGGGGCTTCAGGGAAATATTAGGGGTCTCAACAGACCCCTGATATTTCCCTTTTTAAAATAGAAAAAGGGATTGAGAACCCAGAGTCCTGTTATAAATGAATTTCTTGTTGCTATCATATAACTGAGCCGTCAATTCCTCCATGCAGGGGCGTAGATAAGGGGGATAGGGGGGTTTAACCCCCTTAATGTGCCTGCGTTCCAGTCCAGTGCGATCTGCAAAAATGCTGCAAGCATTATTTTTGCAGATCCCAATGGACCGGAATGCAGGCACTAATGTGCTTGCGTTTCGGGTGCGGACTATCGCACTGTGGTTGGGGGGCATGGCTGCGGTGCCATTGACTTCAATACGCAGGGAGTCGGCAGGCTTGCATTTCAGTGCGTTCTAGAGGCGCTGGCGTCCTGTCCTCCCGCGGTGCTCGTGTGGCCGAATGTGGCTGACGTTGCACACGGGGAGAGGTGTCCTGCCCCTTTCCGTCTGCGCCGTCTAACACATTCAGCCGGCAGCCACACGAGCACCGCAGGAGCATAGCTGTAGCTAGCTCCTTTTGCGCCCGAGGCAAAAAAAAAAACTTGCCCCCCCCCAAACAGGCGTGTGACATCACCCAGCGCCCTGCCTCCAGGATTTTCTTTTAATTTTTTACCATTTTTTATTTATTTTGTATTATTTCTTATTTAATTGTATTTTTTAAAATTACAGACCCCTGACATTTCCCTTTTAAAATAGAAAAAGAAATCGAGGACACAAAGTCCTCAATCTCTTTTTCTGCAGTCTCTGTTCTAAATGAATGGAAAGCACAGAGGCTTCCCATTCATTCAGAAACTTTTTACTATCATCCAGTTTCTGAATGGGGCGGAGCCTCTGTACAGAGTGCTACTCCCCATTGAGGAACTCATGAATGAACAGGAAGTGATGAACAGGAAGTGATGTACTATGTGTCCCAAGTTATTTACAAACACTGGAGTGATCAGTTGATCGCTCTAGTGTTTGTCCTGCACAGAGGATTGGTACATATCACTGATATGTACCGATCTTCCCCCACTCGGCCACGCACACAGAGGCAGATGGGGTTCGAGGAGAAGTGAAAGAAGCACTTCAGCTGCGGGGGGAGCTGTGAAGGTAGCCGCTGTCACAGCAGCATGGTCGAGTGGTGAGGAGAGAGAGAGAGCCGCCGGTTGTCAGATCCTTGCCAATCGTCTCTCTCCTCACTGCTCGGCCATGCTGCTGTGCTCCGCCCCGCCCCCCCCGCCGTCTTCAGCGCTTCCTTTACTTCTCCTCGGATTCCCGCTGCATACAGATGGGGGAGAGCAGCAAGGATCCAGAGGAGATGCCCCACGGCGGGAGGACAGGACATCGCGATTTACCAGTGATCGCTTTGCGATCGACCTAATGGGCACCCCTGGTCTACAGCATTGAACTATGGATTGATTTGGGGGGGGGGCGCTAATGAAAGACCTGCCCCCAGGCACCTAATTTTTTACACAGATAGAGCTTTCTTTTGGTGCTATTTGATCACTGCTGGGCTTTTATTATTATTTTGTTTTATATATATAAATGGAAAAAAAAACAAAAATTGTGGGGGGGAAAAAATTATTTTTTCTACTTTTTGTTATACAAAATATCAAATAAAATCAAATTTCTTCCTAAAGTTAGGCCAAAATTTATTTTTCTAAAAGTTTTTGGTAAAAAAATCCCAATAAGTGTATACTAAGTGGTTTGTGTGAATTGGTAGGTACCAATTATAAGTCCTTTTAAAACATGGTTTTTATCAATATAGTGTCAAACAACAAAATCGATATTGCTCAGGGTAAAGGATTGGTTTAGGAATGATATGGCTGGTATATTTTTTCAAACCTGTCTGCTAGAGAAATAAAAATTATCTACGGCCCTGCCTCCATGTGCATCAATTGATTAAGTTCTGCAACCCATTCCGGCACTGACAGGGCGGATTGCGATTTCCAGTGTCGCAGGATCACAGCTCTGGCTGCATTGAGAAAATATTGTAGACAATGGCGTAACTACCGCCATAGCGACCCACGCGGTCGCTATGGGGCCCGGATCAGAGGTGGGCCCGGTCCAGGGCAAGATTAACAGGGTCGCGTGGAGTTCTGCTCCGGGTCTGCCCCTGCAGATAGGCTCGGCCGGGGGTCGGAGGAGAGACCGGGGACACAGGCACTGCCGTTTATCATGAGGATGGGCGGTAAGGGGGGCGGGGGATGTCTTGCAGTTGGTGCGCTGCGAATGGCACATGGTTTAGACCCCGTACCTTGTGGCAGTGTGGATTCTGGTGGCATCCTGGCAAGATCGGTGAGTGACAGTGTGTGTCTGTGTGTAGGAGAGACGGCTGTGTGTGCGCACAGCGATCCCATCTGCTTGTGACAGTCACATCTTCACTGCCTTTTTGCCATCTACTCTCATCACACCCTCTATTGACTGTAAAAGATTAATTCCCATACTCTACCTGTACCCAATTCTATTACACCCCTCACTGTACCCCCTGACTATACCCAGCACTGTGCCCTCTGACTATACCCCTCACTATACCCGCTGACTATACCCCTCACTGTACCCCCTGACTATACCCAGCACTGTGCGCTCTGACTATACCCCCCACTATACCCGCTGACTATACCCCTCACTGTACCCCCTGACTATACCCCTCACTGTACCCCCTGACTATACCCAGCACTGTGCCCTCTGACTATACCCCTCATTATACCCAGCACTGTGCCCTCTGACTATACTCCTCATTATACCCGCTGACTATACCCCTCATTATACCCAGCACTGTACCCCCTGACTATACCCCTCATTATACCCAGCACTGTACCCCCTGACTATACCCCTCATTATACCCAGCACTGTACCCCCTGACTATACCCCTCATTATACCCAGCACTGTACCCCCTGACTATACCCCTCATTATACCCAGCACTGTACCCCCTGACTATACCCCTCATTATACCCAGCACTGTACCCCCTGACTATACCCCTCATTATACCCAGCACTGTACCCCCTGACTATACCCCTCATTATACCCAGCACTGTGCCCTCTGACCAGTGGCGTAACTACAAAGACGGCGCAGGCACGGGAACATGTTCTGGGGGTAGGTTGCGGAGGAGGGTGTTGGGGCCCATATAAAATTTGGCTATGGGACCCTGTGAGTTCTAGTTACGCCCCTGATTGTAGAATACCCTTTTAACCTTAGAAAGGGAATCTGGGATCAGTGAGAGTAAGGTCACTTGTGCAGTGCGAGACGGATTTGAGGACGACATTGTGATCAATTGCTATCTTAACTTCTCTAGTACTGTAGATTTGTGATGCACAACATGTTTTCATTTCTTCTTTCTGCTGATACATATTTTTTCAATACTCACTTCTTGGGTTTGAAGAGAGCTTGTCCATAATCTGGAAAAGTCATGAGCAGTTTAAGCTGTGTCCCTCCAGGTTTTTGCACTAGAAAAGAAATAAAATAAAATCTCTATATAACGTTATTTTTGCTGATCTGAATTAGAACTGTCAGTTTACCCAATATTGGCTTTATATGTCCATATGTCATTATATGTTCAGTCTCTTCACTGTCTGCGACATTTGGCTCTAGGATTTGTTGATAATTAGTGGAAGTCATAATGGTTTTGCCATACAGGAAGAATCTGCAACAGGACCTGTGACAACAATATAAAGTGTACAGGGGTTCTAGACTTATAAATAATGTGTGGAGATAAATAAATAATGTGCCGAGATTTGGTATCCTCCAAATACCAACCAAATTCTTAAAGGTTCAATATCCTATTGGTGGTAGTGCTCAAACTATATCTATGTATTGTGGAGAGTCAGCATGGCTGAGAGCAAAGAAGGGGTTAACTTGGGAGGGCAGGTACTTCCCCTACAGCCCTTCCTGTTAAAAGGTAACACAGGTGAGAGAGGAGGGGGAAGCTGAGAGACTGACAGAAAGGTCTGTGTGTGGCTGCTCAGAAGCAAGTGGACTCTATCTTGGTGAGATCACCTAAACGCACTACGCAGTGCAATCTTATTGAAGGACGTTATCTTTATGTTTGATGTTTGCTGAGGAAAGCCTTTTACTTTACCGTTTTGCTGAAGAAAGCTGTTTGTTTTGTTACCACTGGATGAAATAAAAACTGTTTATTTATATCGGACTGTGTTGAAGACGCATGTGTACCCCTGGGGTTCCCCACAATTGGTGGAGAATGCGGGCACTTTGAGGGGTACACGCCAGTCGGATGTCCTGGGTAAAGACTGCACAAGCGTTGCAACCCCCAGGAAAAGAAATGGAGGAGCTGGTTAAGTGCCTAGTACAAGCCACAGTGGCTCAACAGCAGATCAGTGCACAGGCAGTTGCAGCACAACAGGAGACCAATCGCCTGCTGGCTGAACAGATCGCAGCATTACAAACCACAGTGACGCAGCAAATCAGAAGGGTCCAGGAGGTTGGAGAAACACCAAGTAACCCTCGGAAGGCTGTGCAGCAGGCTCTGCAAAAGATGACCCCAGCAGACAGTGTGGAGGCTTATCTTTCGCTCTTTGAGCGAATGGCCACACGAGAAGGACTGCCAGATGTACTGGCCCCTTTCTTAATGGGTGAGTCCCAGCAA